TCCTTGTAAGAAAATAAGAGCATATTGGTAAACTTCAGAAAGGTAACTTACTTGGGGGAAAAGACACTCCAAACAAATAAATGGTTCCTCATCAGTAGCAACACAATTGTATAAGCAAGGAGAAGAATGGAATTCAGTCCAAGTGGAATTAGACAAGGATAGCCTAGGGTCGATTTCAAAAGATGTCCAAAATCAACATTATCTGGCTGCTGCTCAGATGCTCTCTTGTCCACCATTGAAATACACATCAGCATGCTGAGGAGGACTAACATTGGGGAAGCATACGTGATGACAAACATCAAAATACCGGATATAAAAGTCGAGTGGCTTGAGATACCCTGGGAATTAGTTAAAACGTTGTAGCTGAGGCATAGAGTAAATAAAATAGACTTGCATGAAAACATAATAGCAGAAGTTGGAGAGTTTTGAGTATTAAGATTATAGAAATAATAAATAAATTAGAAAAAAAAAATGAAGGCATACAATGAAAGCCCCAGCTACATCAATTGTGGCAAGAGTGTTTGTATTGCCTAGAGCAAAGTGGCCGGCCATCCCCAAATAGTACAGTGCCGCAACCTTGAAAACACAGAAAACCCACGAAGTGAACCATTTGAACAGTCAAATTATCAACTTTAGGGTCTTTCAGATTATAGCATCTGATGAAATATATTGATTAATCATGAAAGTGCTTCATACTTTCCGAATTTCACACTCAGGGAAGTTAAATATCTCAGCATAATTCAACTTATCCNTATTATTAAAAAAAAAAAGAAAAGAAAAGAAAAAAAAAAACAAGGAATACTATAATTTTGACATTTAAACTAACCTTAACCCATTGCTTGAGATGTAAACCGCTCTCAGAAAAATAGTGTACGCTGATCAGGATTTGCACGAGTAGTAAACAAGTTGGCATCGAATTTATCGGCTGTTGTAGCAGCATTTGAAGCAGACACCAAGAAAACATATAACACCACCCAATTACAAATAGAGAGTTTCTAAACCCAGCTTCCGGAACTTTCTGCTGACTTTCTTTCAAAACATCGCAGGATAAAGTGATAGGCATTAACCATGGCACAGCTACAAGCATCCCCACAGTAGAAATTCCAATAAGAGCATAGATAACTTGTATCATTTCAGTTGTTTCAGTACTCAATGTTATGAATACCCCTTCTTGGCATTCTAAAATATGTTTCAGAATCATTGTAGAAGGAAATAAATAAATCGACATTATTAACACCGCCGAACGTGTTTTCATCCGCAATTTCAAAATAACAGCAAAACATATGACGACAAGGAGCAATGACAGGAGATGCATGGATTTTATATGTACAGTCCCTGCTTGCTCGAGCAATTTCGAAATATCGGGTAAATAAGACCAGTTAACACCACCTTGATGCCAGCCTCTTAGAATTCTCCCGATTATGAGAACTGCAATGATGTAATATATATTACACGGGCTTGTTATTTTCCTTTCTGGAGTCAAATTGGATGCATGGTGTTCTGTGATAGACTGTATAGTTCTTCTGAGAAAGATTATATACAATGAAGTGGTCATGAAATGCCAAATGTACTGTTCCTCCTCGATCATAGAACTTGAACCCATACTCAAAATGAGGATAAATATTATGCCTGAAGTAAAATACTCGTCCAAACGCCACTTGTGCATGAAGTTGAATTCTTGGCCGTAAAGGAAAAAGAGGCTCATCACTCCTAGACAAGATAGACCCATTGCTGTTATTCCCAATGCAAGCAGATGGATAGGTTTCTGTAAAAGACCATATATAAAAGAACAAGGAGAGAAAGATTAGAGCAGAGAATGAGATCCATCCTTTTTCTGACTTGAAAATGGAATAACCTCTCAGATTCTTAATAAAATAGCACGTACATCGGTTGATCTGCTTGATAGCCACCTGCTTGCAGTTGAAAGGAAATCACGGTATGCTAGAACTATGCGTCTGTAGTCATCCCCATTAACAGATCTATTCAAAGAATCACAAACGTAAGCATAACAGGCTTCAAACATGTTCAAAAGTTTCTAGAAGAGTTTGCAGGACATTATTAGTTATCTACCTCTGGGAACTTTTGGACAGCCAGGATTTATGAAGTGAGATAGCTGCCAAATATGAGCAACAAAGTCTTTCTACATCACTATTTTTACAACTTCCAGAATTGCATGAGTATCTTTCGCATCTCAGGTCAGTGAAATGGGTCTGCAGTAGCCTTAACAATTGCCATGAATTCAGCTGGAGTATTCTCAGCTGTTGGTCATCTGCTTTATGAGGAAGTGGTAAAGGCATGCACATCATATAAAGTACAATAGACAGAAAAAGTTAAATACTACCTTTCAGAGATGAAAAAACTCCTGTCAGCACAGTGCCAACATTGTTTTGGGGGATTGGAACGCCAAAAAGGAGAGCCAATGTTGAAGCTATGTCAACCTAAAAACCATGATCAAGTCTTAGCAAATTTATCATGGCATGCTTCTCTTCACATCATGATAGGTCGAAAAATGTGCACGTTTTATATGTTTAATAGTACATTTTTATATACTTAATTTATTCGCACGTTTATATTTTTCGACTTATTTATTATTTGGATGGATTCATATACATTGATATTTTTATATTTATTTTCAGAATTTTGAGAGTATTTTGTGAACACGAAGCATTGTACGAAGTTCACGCGATCAATTGTCGAGCGCTCCATACTGGCCCAATTTCAGCCCATTCCCGCAGCCCAGAGTGAAACTTGACTTGGATTAATTTTGGCTGGAGGTAAAATAAAATAATAATAATAAAAAAAAGAAGCCGTGAGGGTGCGTGATTTTGCTTGAAGGACTTATTTGCTGAGGGAATTAAATCATAATGCATGTTTGGGTGAGCTTGTACATGAGTTAGATGCCACGCAGCCAAGGAGGTTGATGAGTGGTGGAGTCTTGAACATTAATTGCGAGAGAATCTTTGGATTCTATTGGCTGAGACTATCATTGACTTGGGAATTATTTTCCAAAGGAGGACACTACACGCATATTAGCTGCTGAGAATTATTTTACGAAAGAAAAGGCCGCACAGAAAGCCGAGAAAAGAAGAGGACTCGCGGACATAAAAGAAGACACGCAGCAGACGGACAGAAGGAAAAAGAGGCCACACAAGCGGACACGAGGGAGATTTTTATTCTTTCTTTTATCCTTTTTATTTATTTATATTAGTATGTTAGGCTAGACTTTTTATCCAGTTTTAGGGAATGTTTGAACCCTAACTTCGATTTGTCTATGAATTGAAGGATCTTTATTTATCGTGGATTAATCTAGACGACATATGTATTTTGTTGATCAGTTGATTGATTCATGTTAATTCATGTTATCTGTGTATAATGTTTATAAATTATGGTGTTTGATTTAGTTTGGCCAGCTAGGTTGAATATTCATAGTTTAATTGCTAGATTCGAGGCTTTAATCCGTAATTGTTATTGTTCTCGTTTCAATAGTAGTGAACTAGGGGTCGTGCATCTCTAGGGTAGAGTGAACATAAGTTAAATGGTCCGAGCTTTTGTGTCCGTTGCTTGGACTAATCTATTTTCCTAGAAATTAATGCTGCTAGTGAATTAACTCTAGAGAGCTTATTCTAGGTTGTCCACTAGTTAGGTTTAGTCAAAGAGCTTATTTCGATTAAATAATCGTAAGGGAAAATCCGGTTAACAGAACTCATTGTTAGCTAGGGTTGGTAATTCATTAGCAATTTAGAAAAAGCGTCGAAATTAATTAACGGTAGATTTAGATTGGGTGATAACTGAACCGAAACTGGACTTTTCTTATTTTATTTGATTTTTATTTATTTTGTTATTTTTATTTTTAGTTTTATAAAATCAATCCCCCTCTTTATTGCTTTCATAGTTATAATTCAATTAATACAAATTATCACAGTTTAATTTCTGCCCCTCGTGGGATCGACCCTTACTCGCCTCTACTACTAGTTAGTAGAGGTTAGTTGAGGAAAACTTTTATAAATTTAAATTTGCCGCGTTGCGACGCGCGGTCACATCACATAGTAACAATCAAGAAACTGACTGGAATTAAGGATCAGCATGGGAGAAAGAAGAGTGAATTATTAACAACATGCTCGAGAAAATCTCTTGTGATTTTGATCTCATATTACGCAACACATAAGCTTGGTGTAATTCTCAGTAAAAATGATCAAAACCCAGTCATGCAAGTAAATTAGAAGACATGAAATATATTTTGTAATGCTAACCAAACTACATAATGGCATGTCAGAATAAATGATTGGTCAGATAGATACCTGGTAAGCTTCTTGGCTTTTCTCTGAAATTTCAAATTTTTGGCCACTAACAAAAAGTGCCAAAGAATCTGTTTCCTCATATGAAGAACCTCCATGATTACCACTGTCAGTCATGCCATGATCGCTCACTATCATCTGGAATTCAAAGCACAGAAAGATTGGATATTTTAGCATTATAAACTGCAACACAGTGAATTGTAAATGAACCTAACATATCCTTGTGAATGAGTCACAACTCACAACTTGGACAAAGGTGCAGTGAATAGTAAATATCTAACAGCTTGTAAATCCATTTGGAATCTTGTCATAATTGACCACAGTTACTATAATTTAGATATCCAACATTGTATGAATAATCCTTCCAAACTAATATGATTATAACATGGAAACATGGCCCGTGTAAGGACAACTACTTTATTGACGTCACATTTAAACTATAGCGCAAGTGAATTTTTTTTTTTTTTTTAAATAAATAAATCTCTCACATAACAAGGCGTCTACTGTTTATTCGGGCAGCAATAACTAATTAAAAAGTGAGTTCTATTAGTTCGCGTCCTGAAAGATGGATCAATAACCAATTCAGAGCCTCAAAGATAATTCTATCGATTCAGGATCCGAAAGGCATGAAATTATTAATTTAAGGCTCTAAATTAAACCCGTTAATACTCTTCTTACCAGGTGGTGACACGACAGTAAAGAAGATAAATAAAAAACATTTGAAAATAAAATCTGAAAATGAGATGGAAAACATAATTAAATTTCTTCTATTGTTTCATTTTATTTTCGTGCGAGACTGGGAAATAATTTTACGGTTGTCTTCATCCAACTGTTGTTTTCATTTCTTTTTAAGTTTGTATTTTTATTTGAATGTTTTCTATTTTAGTCTTAAGTTGATAGTTTCATATATTTCGGCCCCCTTGGTAGATTTAGTCCTTCAATCCCTAATTCGATAGTTTACCATTCCCCCGGTCCCAAATGGATTGATTTTATCTATTAGGCTTGCACATATTATGAACCTATCTTTCAGGGCCTCGACTGAAGAAACTCCAAGAAAGAAAGAAAGAGAAAAGGAAAAAATGGGAAGGGCATCCTATATATAGATTATAGAATGAGAACATTAAAGTAGATGTTGTGTTAGACATGTCTAAAAAACTTTTCAGCTCTCGCAGACAGTGAAAAGCAATAACTATGTTTTCATACAAATTGGTACTCTGCGCGCACCAGAAATTCCAGATGATGAGAATAAAGCAGCACAAACCAAAAGTGTCTGTTTCTGGTTATTATTTTCAGTAGCTGTGATACTTGAATGGATTTTTTTTATGACTTCATCCATCTCCACGAGTTTGGGCGCCATCAAGATACTGTAAAAAGATAAATCAATCAAGATACATACAAATGATCCTTTATATTATCAAATATATAGCAAAGCGGAAGCATTACCTACTACGTCCACCAATATGTCCAACATGATCCACTCCAAGATAATGAAGAATCTGGAACAGTAAAGACTCCTATGAATTTCAACATAAAGAAGAAACCTGAGGCAGAAAATGATTGCTACTGCCACTATTTAATTACAATTATCATTTTCTATAGTCCATTGTTATTACCATTCAATATAGTCTTTCTTTGGATTTCAATACTCGATGAAGTGACAAATATAGAGAAAAAAATATAATCTTAACTTGATAAGAAAACTCAAGTAAAGTCATCATATGAATTAAATAACAGGAATTATGCACTGAATTACCAATGGTATGGGATTTACCAGAAGATCCCAGTCCCCAATGTCAAGCTCATATGTCAAATGTCGAGAAACATTGTAATCCACTTGAATGGTGTCTTTAACCTGTAGAAAGATCCAACCATTACAAGAATCGAGATTTTGTTCTTTAAAAAATCTCCTTCCCTCCAGGGGAAATGGTGACAGAAGAAAACACAAACAGATGACAGCAGAGAAATCTTTTTTCTTCAGATTGAAAACATCAATATGTTGTATTGTATAGCTCTTCTGTAATCCACTAACCCGACATTTCTGCACCATTTACTTCGCCCCACTTTCAAAATGTAAGACCAATCCAGTTAGCTTCCCAAACGAAAAAGGTGCATTGGTCTCTACCAGGCATTTCATTTAACATAAATAAATGAATATTTCTGCTAACTTAATATGCACAAGCTTTAACATAAATTATTAATTCTGCATTCTAAATCCAACGTGAGAGAGAGAGAGAGAGACGAGCAAAAAAAAATCATTTTCATTAAACAGGAAAATGCTAATAGACATATGTTATGGAGTAGTTTGACACATTCTTCTTGTTTAAATCATCTTCCACTCTCCAACATACTAACTGAAACTGAAGCTTCTATAAGAGGAGACATCCAGTTGAAAATCATTAATGTACAGGTCTACGTACTTACAAAGAAACTACTAACTCCATCATGTCTATCAAACATGTCAGGAAACAGCTTGATCCATGTTTCATCACCAAGCATCACCATTTTCCAGCCAATTCTGCGAAACTGCGCTGTACCACGGATTAGAGATGCAAAAGTGAGAGGTCAACTGTTGACATAATCTTTTGTTCAGATGATAAGAAACAGATTACTCATATAGAAACTAACCAATAAGGTTATCATCCAGAAATGCTTGCGTGTTAAAATTGAATGCAATATCCAGGAATCCCCCAATAGCTCCAGATACCATAGCCTGCCCATAATCGTCAAATATGGTTCACTCCCCAAGTAAAGATTCCTCAGAAGATAAACAATGATGATTTAGTTTTACCTTCAGGCGGGGCATTGTAACAGTTGGAGGTGCAGCCTTTGCGTGATAACCAATTGCCAATCCTTTAGCCAATAACGACTGTGTATAAGGCATAGCTTCTGTAAAAGCCTTACTTGGAGGCTTCCCATCCTTTCCAATCACAAATTCGGCTGGTAGGCCATCAATAACCTAAAGTGCGGTATTTTTTAGTTTTGCTAAGTCTTTATGCCCAATTCTCAGAAAGTTGCATTTTTTCCAGAAAAATAATCTCTTTTTCACTAACAAATCCTAACTTCATACCATGATTATTAATCTATCAAATAATGGAGGAACACCGGATAGCTCCTGCATTCGTCGTCACTAAGCCACATAAGACTGTGCCAGAAACAAATTAACTATAGAAATAAAATTGACAGAACCATATTTCAAATCTGACAAAACTAAAAAAAAAATAAAAAAAAAATCATTCAACTGAAAAATCTTAGTTTGCCCATGTCAGGAACCAGAAATATGTGCAACAAAATTGTACGCCAGCACACAATTTCCAACAAATGCTGACCTCGAATAAAGACTTGAGCTTTTCAGGAGGCAAAGTTGAGTTTTTTCGGGCGCCGTCAGTCGAATCAAAACCAGGAGGATAAAAACTCTCCAACCCACTACAAAAAAATGAGCATCATACACTAAAGAAGAAATTTTTGCAAAGAATTATGATGAAGAGTATTATTACCTCATGCCGGAGAAAGAAGGCTTCACCGGAAAGAATCCCACAATAAAAAGCGAGAGGCCAATGATTTGGATCGTTACTGCTAAGACTGTGAAGAACGTCAAATTTCTGCAAGTCAGTGCGAAGCAATTGCTCATTCTTGTCGGCATTTGGTCGCTCTTACTCTGTGTGGGAGAATCGCCGGTGGCGAGTTTCGGACATGTGGAATTCAGTTCTGTTCAGCCATAACCGATGAAGCCATGTACGTGGGCTGGGCTTGGGTTGCATTAACTTGTGACTCTGTGGACTCATTGTAGGCTAACCAAAGGAAATGGGCCTAAAGTTTGGTCAAGTAAGTTCTAGAAAGAAATAAAGTTTTTGTTTCTGAATATTTACTAAATGGTGTGGGTTTTTTTGGTTGTCAGATGTAAAAGTTTCAAAACACAAAACCAGTTTCAATTTTGCTTATTTTCCTCACTTTTGTTGGTTCAGTTATTTTGTGAGAAGACTTCTGATAATTATGGAATTCTGTATGAAACATCTCTAATGGAATGTATGTTATATGACTGGCCAGTTCCCATAAGTAACAAAACAGCCTTGCCAATCAAACCACATACAAGAAAAACTCAAAACACAAACCATAAGTCATATGTTACAGGATTACATGACAAGAATGCATATTTCTCATTCTTTTTTTTTTTTTTTTTTTTTTTTCCNNNNTTTATCCATACTCCAGCACAACTACAAACACAGACAAAACAATAGTCCACGCTCAGTTTCACGACTTGACATCCTTGAGCACTCCCCCTTTCTCGAGCTCCCCAACTAAATCCCTCAAGGCTGGCACTTTCATGGCCAGAGTACGGTACAACCTCGAATACCGGGCCCGCGTCCCGTCAGCTGTCCTGGCCAGTGCCAGCAGGCTTAGAGCTTCCGGAAGATTCTTGAAGACCTCTTTGATCTCTTCCAAGCTCATATTCTCTAGGACAGTCGGTTTTGGAACAACCCGAACAATCTCCCCACCCTTTGGCTCCTGCACTCGAGCATCAGCCTTTATGACGAGCTCGGAACTCGAGTTAGCCCCACACTTGATGATGAATGGGGTGGTTGACCCCGTGTTGAATTGCAGAACATTCCATTGCACCACGTCAGTTTCCGAGCTGCTGCTTGCAAGTCGAGCGATGTTTGATGGGTCGACAAGCTTGTCGTCTTCTTCGGGAGTTGACTGTGTGGGGGGCAATAGAATATTTAAGATTTTTGTACAAGTGACGGCAGAAGGAAAACCGTATAAATGGTGCAGAATGAAAATATAAAAGAATTTTTTTTTTTTTTTAATATTTCAGTAGCTTTATGGAGAACAAAGGAAAGGGTTTTTAAGGGATTAGCTTGATAGTAATACATACAACCAAATAAATCCTCAGTAAAATGAAGAAAAAGAAAGAAAGAAGAAAGCTTTCAGTTTTAAGTTCTCAACAGTCGGCCGGCCACCAGCCACCAACAACCAAATAATGATCCAAAAAGGTGACCGGACAAATTCGAAATTCAATACAAGAATGAAAATATCTGCACATACCTCTACCGCTTGACGAGCTTCAGCAATATGTCTCTGAGCGCACGGATGATCTACGTCAAGTAAAGAAGGCATTTGCCCAGAGAGTTCATCTAGAGATGCAAGCATTTGCCTTTTCTTACTCTTACTCAGAACATTAGCAGAAGTTTGCCTCATTACATCCTGTTTCAAGCAAAAAAATCAAATCTCCTGCAGCAGTATTTAAAAAAAATGATAATACAGAGAAAGACAAAAAAAGAAAACCTTGGTTTGTTTCAATATGCCATCAAGCGAAATTAATGATGCCAGCCTTGAATCCTCGGCGGCAGTTGAAGGATTTTTAATGGGTGTGGCTCCATCTTCCAAACTCAACATCGCCATGTCATTTTTCATTTGATGGAGTATCTAAATCACAGTAGAAATTTAGCAGCAACATGCTTAGAGACAATAAATTCATATAGACCATATATACCTAAGCCTTTCTAGCAGTGAATCCATATATTTATCGATATTGGTTTGCAGCATTGCCCAAGGAGCTATAAACAAAACATAGCAAATGCAGTGTTGTCGACTAGCTCTATTCGTGCTTAATAAATCAGTACTTCTCCACTGTTCTCGTGACATTAAAAAGCCTTTAATTATTCCAGAATTGGTAAGTTTACACAAAAAGGATACGATATAGGGAAATAATTTTTAAAAAAAAATAAGGAAAAGAAAAGGTAAAGTAAAATGTTGGATTACATGGTTCAGAAAATAGTTGCATCTATCAAATTTAGGTGGCATAAACTGGTGATAGAAACACTTTCAGAGGTTGGAAATAACTATAAATAATCTCATGTTTTACCAATAATTAGGATTAGACAAAAATTTGAAGGTGGTCCAAAAGAATATATATCGACGGAAATAAGAGAGAAAGAGAAGACAAACGAGGAAACAATATAACGCTGACCTTCCTTCTCTTGTGGTCGACAGATTCAAGAGCTGAACGTAGCTTAGCTACTTGTGCAGAGTCTTCGGCAACTTCAGCTGCCAAAGTACCTGCAATATCCTGATATGACCAGTGTAATACGAGATATTAGAACACATATAACGTTGTCATGAATCTTTATCACTCATAAACAAACATATCAACTAGATTGTCAAGGGCATAGAATAATAAAATACTTCTCATATCATGAACTGCCAGACACATATTGAACAACAGAATACAATTGCTAGGACTGCCAGACACTGATTAAACAACAGAAAATAAATGCCCAGTTTAAGCCTTGGCCCAGTGGACTCGGCCTGAAACGACCCGGCCCGGCCCATTGTCACCACTAGCAAGGGTAAGAACATACCTTTAAGTGCTGTAGTTGAGAAGTATAAACACGTCTGCCATATTCAGACAAAAGCTGGCCGAGAGCATCAGTATTAGGTGGTTGAGCGGCACCTAGACCGGCCATCCAACCATCCATTATAGCAGTCGAGAGAAGCTCCAGCTGTCCAGTCGAGCCAGCTACTGTGTCATCAGCAACAGAGAGGAAATCAAAGTTGTCCGCAAGCCAATTTCGGATTTGACGCTGGAGCTCGCCAGCTGGCGTATGAACAAAAATAGCCGCAAGAGCCTTGTTCCCAATTGCAAAGCTTTTTGCATCCTCGGTTATTTCCCTGAGTTTTCCACCTGTTATAAGCTTGCTCCACGTATCCTGCATATTTTAAGCTCAAGCATCAAACAAAATACTTGAAGTTCTTGTGGACCACAGTACAGAGTGACGGTTGCAAACAACTATTTTAATGCATCAAAGAGAGAGAGAGAGAAAAAAAAAAAANAAAAAAAAAAAAAGCGACGAAATGCCGGGTTCTATGGCAGAAGTGTTTCAATTCTTCAATATTGTGTGTATCAATCAATCAATCAATCAATATTTTGAATAGAGATGTTCGAACAGTGATTAAATTACAACCTCTACCTTAGTACCTCGTCTAAGCTAACATTTCGAGAGAGCATCAATTGTTAATACTGAACTAAAATTAGATCATATAGACTGAAATGACAAGACACAGATTACAGCAAATAGTACAGCAGAAAACATGGCGAAAAAGTGACACACGTGCTACCTGATCAATTCCACGTATCTTTAGAACTACTGATGACAATTTTGACTTCTTTTCCGGCTTTATATTTACTTTAAAGCCTTGAATCTGTTCCTCGACCAGCATATTTCTTGTGCTGTCATAGCGCACAGGAGATTTCCCTGGGCTGCTACCACGGCTAGAGCTTCTACTGCGCCCGCTATTAGGTTTCTCTAGAAAGCGGTCAATAGGAGAAACCTTGTAACACAATAGAAATTGTTTCCTTTAATATTTTTTCTTTTCAATTTTCAGTTGCAACAAAATGAATAGTATCAGTGAGAAAGAAATTTTGTGCATGCAAACAAATGAGAAGATAAAACTTTTAGCACCTTAATTGATTGCAGCTCTGGTGAACGAGCAAGCAGGGATCGTATGTAGAGAATCCTGACACGAGAAACAAGCATAGTATCCATCACCCTTTTTGGCTCCATTTTACGAATAAAGGCAAAAACAGCATCTCTTATTTCAGCAAGTATTTCATGTTCTCTTGAGGCACCCGCCTTAATGACTGCAGCCAGAACCTACACAATTGCACATAAGAAATTTTCAGGGGAAAAAAAAAAAGAACAAGAAAGAGGAGAAAGGGATCTTAATGATTTAAAAGTTGAGACATGGAACCATAAGCGGAAAAAGGTGCAAGTACAATAAGGAACTCTTCAAGCTCAACACCACTATAAAACAATTTTTCAATTATTTAACAATCAGAAGTAGCGTAAAATGTTGAGGAACAAAATTCAAGAAGTTGTATCAAAGCAGGAATGTTAATAAGGATAATAGTTGCTGTCAAATCATATAAAAGTGCATGTAAAGCATTATTATTACTGCATCATATGGAAAATCGGAACCAAGCATCTGTCCTTCTATCTTCTTTCACATGCTATAGCCAACATTGTTCTATACTTGTTTGTATATTGAACATGGCAAGCAGGTGTAATCGCAAAGTACTAACCAGAAAAAAATTGAGAAATTTTCTTCATTTATACTAATTTTATTCCATGTATATACGCTTGAAACAATATCTTAAGCAAAGCAAAAGACACGCATCAAGCAACATTTTACCCTTCTCAATTCAATTATACTACCTCGATGAAAATCAATTCACAACCAAGGGAAGATGAAACTGCAACCACCAAACAGACTTTCAATTTTACCAATGAGACCTGGAGTTGGATGTATGAGAACATTTTGATTTACACGTACCAACATCAAAAGCTTGTTTGCTCCATCTGATATTGCAGCAAGACTGTCATATTGGTCTGGGTCAAAATCATTCAGGGCAGAAGTAAGATATTCGCCAGCTGGGGTCGTCTTGACAATATCAGTACCAGATTTGACCAAAGCAACACTGTTCTCTGCCTTGACTGAGGCTAAAGGTGATGAAACATCACCAGGGCGTACTTTGGGATTCATGCTATCATTTCTGTCAAGGAAATTTAAGAATT